CGCCGTTGGGGCAGGGGAGGCCAGCCCCAGCCACACGCGGGGTCCCTCGGGCAAGCTGTAACCCCGGGAAGGCTATAAGGGCTCTCCCTCTGTCCGCGTCGCGATCCAGTGCTTGCCCTTTCACGACGCTGAGGTCAGCGGCGAGGGGGACGAGCCGCCCTCCCAGCCTGGCTGCGAGCCCTTGGGGGTGGCACGGGCGAACGGGGCGCTTGCCTGTCCCGTGGCCGTGGGATGCAGCACGTCTCTCTGCAGCGTTACAGTCTGACGCTGTCTCTCCCTTGCAGGGCAAGGTGGAAGTGGAGGCCGGCAAGGAAAGCATGAAGTTTGAGGCGGGAGCCTTCTCCTATTATGGGGTGATGGCCCTCAGCCCACCTCCTGTATCGGGTAAGCGGCTCCTGATCGGGCACCCAGCATGGGCAGAGCCCCCCGATCCTGCCCTAGAGCTGCCTTAGGGAATAGGAGACGCCGGAGGCTACAGGCCCCATTTTGGTGCCCCGCAAGCTGCTGTGAGGCCTGGGCACCCTCTGCTGATGAGCCAAGGGCAGCCTGGCAGCGCGGCAGAGCCAGCACCTCACCTGGCACTTGTTCTCAGGGACCCGCACCCTGAGCGCATCTGGCAGTGGAGGCAGAGGGTTTGGGCGCGACCTGGAGCTAAAACCCCGGCATCTGGGCTCGAAGCGTGCTGGCAGATCTGTTTCTCTGCTGCTCCGATGCCGGGCTGCCCTCCCGGCGCTGCCAGGCTCTGCGAGCAGCCCGAGATCGATCCTCCCGGCCCATGCTGGGCTCAGCGTACAGTCATGGGGTCACCAAGGGAGAGCACAGCCACTCATGATGGCAGAGAAGCCCCGCAGCCCAGGGGGGTTAACCCTGCCCTGGGGGTCCCTGCCCCTGTGCCGAGGAGGAAAAGTTGTGTTTATCCCCGGGGGGCCATGCACTCAGCCATCCCGCCTGCAGCACGGATCCGTGCCCGTCTTCTCTGCCGCGGGCCTGAGCGTGGCGAGGGGCAGAGGTACGGATGCCGGGGGAACATCGCAACCGCCGTCTCCTTTGCCCAGAGGTCTCTCTTGACGTTGTCCTCTGCGTGTCTGTGTTGTCCGTGTCTCTGCCTAGCCCTCCCAGCCCAGCCCCGGCGCCAATCCACAAAGCGAGGGTCATTGTTTTCCAGGTTGACAGGTAAATGGTGCGGCTGCATGGCGTGCCAAACCCCTCTGTGACCGGATTAACCCGCCATTTGGGCGTCCCCACCACTCTGGCCCCATTCATGCCGCACT